AAAAAACCATGTCGGTACAGACGGTTGCTCTATTAGCAACCTCCCGCTCATCGGTGCCTGTTGAAAAATTCGATTCAACGGGGAATCGAACTCACAACTTTCAGAATACTAGGCTCGCACCTAGCCACTGAGCTACCGACGTCGGTGTGTTTGAATCGATTTAATTGAATTTATTGTAAGAATTTGGATTTACGGGGAAATCGTATGAAAAGAAAAAATTAATTTGTAACTGGAGAAGACGTGAGAGAGGGTGGAATGAATTATCTTACGATGGAGTAATTTAATTGAATGTAATCCCTTGGTGCAATGATCCCGTCAATTTCATAATGATGAAATTTGAAAATAGGTGAATTACAATAAGTAGGGTTTGGTAGTGACATTGGCTTGTCAAACGATGTGGTGAAATCTGCTCGTTATCTCCCGAGGTAAGAGGGCCCCCGAGTCAAGAGGGTTTTACAGAGGCCATTAATCGGACCAACGCTATTCGCCACTGGTGAATTCGCGTGAACTGAGAAATCCGTAACGTAGTCTCGTTAGCAGGGAATTAGTAAACGCGGCTGGTGGAGTTTTGTCAAAGGGAATTAAAGCAACTTGGTCCGATACACCATCATTCATTAATCGCAATCCCTTTGAGGGCTCCACTTCAATGACGAAACGAAGAAGATAATCTCCTTTCGATCATTGGCGTAACGCGAACGGCAGTCGATAGTAATAATACCAATTGTTCAAGTGATATATATTATTGTCGATACCCGGGGAGTGCGGGAGTATCCATTAATGGATATGTTTAATGCATACAGCACAAACGATCGTGATAGCGATATAAGAAGAGGATATTGGTGCTATATTCTATATTTGAATTTTTTACTGCGGCGGTTGCGCCGCCACGCGTCGGCGTCCCATTACTAGAGATGATAATCTCGATTGTAGGGTTTCGAAGAAATTTTTCATGTTTGTTTATGAAAATTGAACAGAACCGGTAAAAATACTGGAGTTAAAATTTATGGGCGGCACGGGGTTGGATATTTTGGCACTCGAGGAAATTCATAGGTTAATATAATGCACGTATCCGGCAAACGTGAGGCAGCACGTATTGGCTACGAAACAAAGGATGTAAATTAATGTGGCTCTCGGGATATTAGCCGACAGCATATTTCCACTGGGGACATAGCAACGCTGCCACTGGCTTCGATACTTCGGTTTATTAACCACGAACAATGAATATCAAATGGCAAGGCGTGAACTATCGTGCTATCAATTTATTCCCCAAAAAGTTGACGGTGGGATTCACTCACCAATTTTATAGGCGAGTCTGGGGCAATATAGATATATTTTTTATTTAAATTCGGATCACAGAAGGTGATCTGCACTGTTGAAAATTTTTTTATTTTTCAGTCCTTTGAATTAATTTAATTGATATTAAGGTAATTCAATTATTTAATCATATTGGAGTTGATTAAATTATATTTAGTCAATTCTAAATATAATTTTATTACTTAATTAATGCAACTTGAGAGTTTATCAACGGACTGTTCATTAAATTCTTAATTAACCGGAATAATTATAGAGAAATGTTGAATAAATATCGGCTTTACCCCAAGTCCTCGTCAATCCCGATAATTGCAATAAATTGCGGAAGAAAAATACGTCAATTGGTCTCAACCACAATCCAACACAATAGTGAGTCAAAGGAGGACGAAAGGGTGTCCCACTTGTCGATGGAAAGTGCTTTCTGAATGCCCAGGAGGTTTCAACGAAAGCTCTCCCCTTCTGGCAATGGAGAATGAGTCCTGAACGGTCGGCTTTAAGAGCTCGCAATACGAGGCGCAATAGATAAATGAAAAAAAAAAAAAAGAAAGTGGAAAAATCCGCACAAAAAAGGTAGAGGACGAAATAAAAACGAGTCAA